CATTCCATTCCATTCCATTCCATTCCATTCCATTCCATTCCATTCCATTCCATTCCATTCCATATTTTGTATTATGTTCTGTTTTCTTCTGTTCTGTTCCCTCCTCCCCTTGTGATTCCTCTGACTGTGTATGTTAGAACTGCATCCATACTGGCCGATCTCCAATATGCTGTCCATTGGCCTATCCAAACAGAAAATATGGGCGGCTATATTTATGAATAAAATTGACCATTGTATATATTTCATGGGTTAGAGGGGAGAGGAAAATGGAGACTAAGACTTCCTATGATTTTGGCTTCATCTTCACGGGTTCGATTTATGAGCAAAAGCTTTTTAAAAATTATGTCAACAAAGACTTGAATACTGGCACACTTTCATTTTAGAAGAAAAATGCACATAAAGCTACATTTGACTGACTCTGTCCAATTTCTTATGTCGCACCAGTAAGCTCGAAGCCAATACTTACATTAATTATGACTGAAAACTTTCCGATGCCACTCAAAATATTAAACCAGATTCCTGCAAGAAAGCATAAAACTTTGTTAAGAACTCTTGGTCAGCTCCTCGTTAAGCAAATTCTAAATACAGGTAGACCTCAACATATAACCATAACTAAACCTACAATTATGGTCATAAGTGGAGACAGTCATTAAACAGGTCATTATGCGACAGTGCCCAATTTTGTAACCTTCTTTGTGGGAGTTGTTAACTGGCCATTAAATGAATGCTTTGATCATCAACTGAACCCATTGTTTGTTACAGCTCATTTTTTTGCTGGAAGTTGGAAGTAAGTCCCCTTTTGCATCAAAAATATTGTAAATCACAGCCGCATGACCATGGTCATACTGAAAATGGATATCAATGAGGACTAGTTGCCTAGTGTCCAAAATGCAGTCACATGACCACAGGGAGAGTGGGGCGGTTGCCGGAACATCAAATCTGCATCTTAAGTACCTTTTTCGAGGTCTGAGGTAACTTACAATAATTCAATAGCAGAGTTGGGAGGGACCTTGGAGGTCTTCTAGTCCAACCCCCTGCCTAGGCAGGAAACCCTACACCACTTCAGACAAATGGCTATCCAATCTCTTCTTAAAAGCTACCAGTGTAGGAGCATTCACAACTTCTGGGGGCAAGTTGTTCCATTGATTAATTGTTCTGACAGTTAGGAAATTTCTCCTCAGTTCTAAGTTGCTTCTCTCCTTGATTAGTTTCCACTCATTGCTTCTTGTCAGGTGTTTTTGGAGAATAGCTTGACTCCCTCTTCTTTGTGGCAGTCCCTGAGATATTGGAAGACTGCTATCCTGNCTTTTTTAAACAAAACAACATATAACACCCAATTACATTATGTTTAATGTAAACCAAGTGATGTTAACCCTGAGCTTAAGAATTGGTGCACAAAAACCTGGAACCGAACGCCATGCTCGATGAAACGGGGGAAAGTTGTTTTTTGTTCTGCTCTTGCTTTGTATGTGTTGTTTTGTTTAAAAAAGAATAAATATATTTTTTTAAAAAAGGAAAAAGAAAGGAAGCCCAGGGGCCATTTTGGGGAGGGGGTTGGGGGTTGGGGGAAGCACCTTTGGGATAACCCTGATCTGGATGATGGAGGATCTCCATTGCACCCCACGGGGCTTGTTTCGGGGTAAATGGGCTTCTTCCTTTAACTCTGAGGAGGATTCTACCTGTTGGAAGTTACACTAGGTTCATCTAATGCAGTGTTTCTCAACCTTGGCAATTTGAAGATGTCCGGACTTCAACTCCCAGAATTCCCCAGCCAGCATTCGCTGGCTGGGGAATGCTGGGAGTTGAAGTCCGGACATCTTCAAGTTGCCAAGGTTGAGAAACACTGATCTAATGCTTGGACAGAAAGAGGCCTTCTTCCATTCAGCTTCTCACCACCCTGGTTCTCCACAAGTTACTAACAGCGTTCAATGGAATCTTAGGGCTGGAAGGGACCTTGGAGGTCTTCTAGTCCAACCCCACTGCCCAAGATCATAGAATCATAGAATCCTAGGGCTGGAGATAACCTTGGAGGTCTTCTAGTCCAATCCAAGATCATAAAACTATAGAATGCTAGGGCTGGAAGGGACCTTGGAGGTCTTCTAGTCCAATCCAAGACCATAAAACTATAGAATGCTAGGGCTGGAAGGGACCTTGGAGGTCTTCTAGTCCAACCCCCCTGCCCAAAATCATAGAATCATAGAATCCTAGGGCTGGAGAGAACCTTGGAGGTCTTCTAGTCCAATCCAAGACCATAAAACTATAGAATGCTAGGGCTGGAAGGGACCTTGGAGGTCTTCTAGTCCAACCCCACTGCCCAAGATTATAAAATGATCGAATCCTATGGCTGGGAGGGACATTGGAGGTCTCCTAAACGAACCCCCGTCCCAAGAACATAGAATTGCAGGCTAGAAGGGGCCTTAGAGGTCTTCTAGACCAATCCCCTGTCCCCAGATCATAAAATTATAGCCTCCTAGGGCTGGAGAGGACCTTGGAGGTCTTCTAGTCCACCCCTCTACCCAAGAGAGGAGTCCTTATTCCAAGCCAGACAAGCGATTGTCCGATTTTTTTTCTTGAAGGCCTCCAGTTCCTCAAACACAACAGACCTCCTGAAATTGGGCTCTTCATTGGTGCCGTACTACAACTCCCAAAATCCTCACCAAGACCACCCCCTTTGCATCCAGCCTCACATGCCAATGGTCCCTTGGGACGTGGTTAGCGGTGATCAGATTCGGAAGGGGAAGCAAAGAATGGAACAGACCGATTCCAAGGCACCCGTGGCGGGACGTGGGAGGTCAGAAAAGTCAAGATGGCAGCCGTGGCCGTGTGATCACAGCCCCCCCCTTTACCTGTACAACCCTCCCCCCCCAAAGAGGAGGGGGTGAATTGTCAAATTATAGCCAGCAACTTGGCTTTTTTGACACCCCCCCCCACATCCCATGTACACACACACACACACACACACACACACACACACCTGAAAGGACAAGGGAAAAGCAACTGAAAACAGCGGGATGTATCAAAAGAAGCATTTTATTAAAATTCCAAACAAATAATAAAAAAAAGGAACCAAAATTAGACAACACACAATGTAGTTGATCTCCGAGGTGGATGACACAAATGGAAGAAGAATAGAGAATGGGGAAAAAAATAAGAACAAGCAACTTAACAACTGTCGTGCTTAGCAACCAGAAAGTTTAGGGTCAATTGTGGTCATAAGTCGAGGACTACCTGTATTTTATATGCAAGGCACATGTGCATTGAACCTGCCTGCCTGTCTAGCTGTCTGTCTGTCTGTCTGTCTGCCTGCCTGCCTGCCTGCCTGCCTGCCTGCCTGCCTATCTATCTATCTATCTATCTATCTATCTATCTATCTATCTATCTATCTATCTATCTATCATCTAACTATCTATCACAACCTCCCAAGCC